TGTTTTCCTCCGTGGCCGCACCATTCACCGTTCCCATCCACGCTGTACGAAGGGCTCTAATTTCCCCATGTCTTGGCCAGCACCTGTGTTCTCGCTTTTTTTGTCGTGGGCCATACCAGGTCCATTTTCAGTACAGGGGTTTTAAGTGTAGGCGCTTGTCCTGGGTTCACTGAAGAACCGTAGTAATAAGTTTGGGCTTTTTCTTCATCATTCTTTTTGTTTTGAACCTTGGGGTACTTGAACCTGAAAGTCCTCGTAGGAATGATTTTCTCCAGCTGCTGGGTCGCCGCTTGTGGTCGAATGAGCCGGAGCGCTGGCCGCAGAGACGGATGGCGAAGGCTGTTTGAAGGAACAGCCTCCGATCAAAGCGAGCCTGAGCACAAAGAGAAGCGGTCATTTTCAGATGAGAGTTACGAAGGATGTCGGCCGTCCTTCTTTAATAGGGTATAAGGAATCGAAGACGTGGCTGTCATCCTCTGTTTGGTGTGTTCTGGTTCCTGCAATACATGCAGCAGAGTGGCACGGAGCGGCGCACCCTTGAAGCGCCCCAGAGAGCCGTGCGTTGTCATTTCAGCCGCATGAAGCCATCATGTTCGGCCATCTGTCCTGTTTCATCCATTGCTCTCGAGAGCCGCAGCTCGGGTCCAGGGGCTCCAGTTGGCCAATCTGGCCTCGCTATGTTTTCCTCGGTCAGAATATTCGGGTTCTGCTGGGGCTGTGCCCAAATCTTCCAAAGGCGACACACTTAAGTCTGAAGGGAGAATTTGTGGACCGTATATATTGTAGCTCAAGACCTCCAAATGGAATCATATTAATATGTGTTTTCTGAAGAAATATGTAAATTAATAATTGCTTCATACATTATTCAAGAAAAACTTATTTTGTATCACCAATAGCTCTTGTAATCTTATATAAAGATATGCTAATGGATTTAATTAAAATAATTATACCGACTAATCTAGCCTGAACTTTACCCTAAAATAGTGTCTATTAATCATCATCAGTGGTAATATTTTTAGCCAGAGAGACACATAGAACATGATACCAGATAGAAAGTGCATTTTTATTTTTATTTTGGTTTACGGTTTGGATGAAGTTGGCATTCTCAGGCAATGCACAGCAATTAAATTTGCTTAGAAAAGAGTGCAAAATATATTTAACTTCTTTATTCTGACCTATGCCATTAATTAAAAAACGGTTAGTATTTTCTGCTGTTTCTTAACCTTGTGTGTTTCATGTCCCCCCTGAAACGCGGTGACAGTGTGTCTGACCTCACCCTTCTCAGAGTTGTGGTTGCTGGGCACCAGGAGGCCTTGACCGCCTGCGTGTTAAGCAGTGAACCCGGTTTTAAGGGGCACTTAGCCACTCACCCATCTTCTCACGTGTACAGGGATGGTCACTCCTGGCCATGTTGTGTCTAATTTTGTGTCTGGACTCTTCCCCGGCTTGCTGGCTTTTCATCGGTGCTGATGGTTGGGGGGCCCTACGGTATTTGGAGGAAATGTCTGCTTTCCCCGGAGCCTTTGTGTGCCTGAGTGTGCAGGGACTCAGGTGCGTGTTCTCAAGGGCACGTCAGTGTGGGGCACGTCAGGGTGGGGTGCATCCGTGAGGGGCGCATGTGCCCGTGGCTGTGGCCCAGATGCAGTTGGAACTGGACTCGGCCATCCTGGGCCGAGTTCAAAGGGACAAGCAAGCCAGGACTTAAATGGCCATTAAGTTCATGTAAGTGAGTTTAAAGTCCAATCTGGGAAGTAAGTTTCCTAAAAAGCAAACATTGATTTGATAAATTCAATGATGACTTAAAAAACTGAAGACGCACAGATAAAGCAAAAAGCAGTGAATTCATGTGCGTTCCTGTCTGTTCTCTGTTCCTGGCAGTCGCGAGTGGGTGCTGTCGCAGGGCTGTGGCTCACGGCTCAGCCCTGGAGGGATGGAGGAAGAGGCCCCTCCACACCAGCTGTGTCTCCAGGGCTCCCCCCACAGGCCTCACCCCTCCACTCCTATCCCCCACCCCCACGCTCCACCCCATCCCACCTCCAGTGACTTGATTACCACCGCCCCCCTGTCTGCAGGGGATCCAGCCAAGGCCGGGGAGGCCCCTTGGGCGGGGGGCTGCTCACGCGCTTGCCTCCTGGCCACTCACCCACCATTCAAAAGGGCCTCACGCATTTTGAACAAGATTTTATTAAATAAAGAACTGATTTACAAAAATGAGACAAAAACAGAAAAAAATAAATAAATAAAAAAAACCTCTCCATTACCCTCCACGTCGGTTATCCAAACTCCTTCGACTTGACAAATGCGTCTACGGAGTATTTACCTCTGTCTTCGGGGCGTTGGAAGCCGTATTGAGGGAGGTCATGTCGGAGGTCATGTCGGAGGTCATGTCGGAGGTCATGTCGGAGGTCATGTCGGAGGTCATGTCGGAGGTCATGTCAGAGGTCATGTCGGAGGTCATGTCGGAGGTCTCCGCGGGGGCAGCGGTCTGTCGTGCTCGCGTTCGCGCACATGCCCGCGGCTCGCGTCCCCTCCTGCGCCAGCGGTGGCCGGAGACCAGCCTGGAGCAGACGCCGGGCCCAGCCCGCCTTGTCCTGGGGCTCATGCAGGAGTAGCTTCTCCGGCCCGCGTCCGGGACCTTTATATCTGGAGGCGTCTTTCTGTACATACCTGCAGGCGCCCCGCTTGATTGGGGGGTGCTCTCCTCTGCCCCTGGGGAGGGTTCTGAAGCAGCAGCCCCTCCCGCGGGCAGGGCCGAGCTGAGGGAGCCGCGCAGTCCACAGGGGAAAGGTGCCTTTGCAGGGAGCTCCGGCCAGACCCCAGACCCTTGAGATGCCGGGCAGATCACCAAAGATTCCGGACAAATAACCAAAGCCAGGAAGGGCGGGGCTGGGTGAGGCCCTGACTGCCAGTGGGCGATGGATCAGACTTTGTGAGCAGGTCAGAGAGCTGGCCGGCCCTGGGAGCATGTGGGGGTCCCGGTGCCCCTCCTGTGCTCCTCCACCTGGAGTGGACCCGAGGGGCTGAGGATGGCGAAGCCTGTGGGCTGAAAGGAAAGTGGTGGGGTGTCTCTTGGGAACTGAGAGGTGATTTTACATGAAGCTCTGTCAGTCTGGGCGTCCTGGAGGTTCTGCTGTGCTCAGGATGCTTGGCAGGGATGACCACTGCTCAGCTGTGACTTGGGATCACAGTGGTCACAGGCCCCGAGGTCAGGGGCGGAGGTGAACATCAGCCTCCTGTGAACACAGCACCTGGCAGCCAAGGGTAGAAGGTGGAAGATGGGCCGCAGAGGCCTGTCCAGTTTGTCACTGTCTGCTTTGTCCTGTGACATGGAATCGATCGTCCTGCTGCAGGCTGGTGATGCTCTGTTGGGTTCGGGATAAAATGCACGAAGCGGATGTGTTCCTCACCCTCAGGACCATCACAGACTAAACGAGACGCTTCTGGGTCCAGGCAGTCAGCTGTGCAAATGCTGCTTATTAAATGTGACGATAAATAATCTTTTAGTTTTTCAAAGCAACTCCGAGGTCGGCGCGGCAAGACTTCTGAAACCGGAATGAAATTGTTTGTACTGAATGCTCTTTCCAAAAGTTGCATCTCAAAGTAGGTAGTTTTTACAGATTGTTTTTAGTGTCCAATATGAGAAGTCTTTGCTTAGCCCGAAGTCACAAGTATCTTCTTCTAGAAGTTTTATAGTTTTAAGTTTTGTATTTAAAGTTAATGTTCAGATAGTGTGTGAGGTGTGCCATGAATGGCAGCAGGTGGAGGAGGAGGAGCCTGGGCCCCTGGGTTGTAAATCAGTTAATTGACCATCTGTTCGGGGGATTGTGTTTAAACGGAGTGTCTGCCTACTTGCTTTTGGAAAAGGGGCTAAGGATGGTTTAAGTAATAGGTGTTGTATTCTCTGCGTTCAGATGGTTATCTTATTCTGTTTTGAATTTGATTTTGAGCTTTATGAGTGTTATTGTCCTTCATTTCATCCAGGGAGGGGAGCCCAGCCTGGTGTAAAGAGTCACTCTAAGAGTCACAGATGGGGTGCAGGGGGTGCAGTCAGACCCCTAATGTCCGGGAACTTTTCCCAACAAACTGTAGATGAGGAGGCTGAGGCTATGTGGCTTCCCAGAGAAGTGAATTTTATTTCTAGCTCAGTTCAGTCCTGGCTGTGTGATCGGGCGGTGGGGGTGTGTGTGTGAAAAGTAACTGATGGACATCAATTTCCTAACCTTCCTACACTGCTCACTTCCTCTAGGAGGTCTGTTGGAACTAAAACTAAAATATACGAGGGTCCCTAGCATAGTGCCTAGCATCATTATTTCCCTCACTCTATGTTTTTGCACACATAGGTTTTCTAAAAGATATGTAATATCGATATAGGAGACAAAAGTTACTACAGAAAAAATTATTCCTTCCAGCCGATGTGGCTCAGTGGGTTGAGCGTTGTCCCATGGACTGAGAGGTCCTGGTTCGATTCCCGGTCAGGGCACATGCCCGGGTTGTGGGCTCGATCCCCAGTGGGGGGCGTGCAGGAGGCAGCTAATCAATGTTTCTCTCTCTCTAAAAAAATCAATAAAAACATATTTTTAAAGAATGGTTCCTACGTCAGGGCTGCAGAGACGTCCAGGAGGACAGTTTTGGAGTGGAACAAAGACAGTCGCTTTAATTGCGGAATAAGATCGATCCTGACGGTCGAGGATCCTGCTGAGGGTGCAGGTCCTCCGTGGCCGCGTCAGGCTAAGGAGGAAATGCTCAGCAGGGTGCGGGCCTTCGGTCAGCCGGCGCCGTGTCAGTATCACTGTTAGTGTTCTGTGTTGAGACTGGAACAAACCACCAGTTTGTGGACCATCGATTTTTTTCTTTGCTTTTTTTTTTTTTTCCTCGTGTTTCACTACGAGCCGCTCTCCTGGAAAGGGATCTTTCTCTTCTTGGTATCGCGCGGCTCTGCCGAGTGAGTGTAAATGCACATTAACACGGGCTCAGCAATCTTCTCTGGTCTTGGTTTGCAGGGCGCCGCGCTCAAGTACCTGCCCACCATCGTCAACGACGTGAAATTGGTGTTTGATCCCAAAGAGCTCAGGTAAGGAAGCCCCTGGCCCTCCGCGACCTCCCCTCAGCGCGTTGAGTTCGTGGGGTGCTCGCGGTTCTGTCCCCTGGCAGCAGAGGTCGGTGCTCGATCGTTTTGGAGTTTGTGCTGGTCGTGGTGGCTGTCACGTCACTGATTATGACTCCGGAGGGAGAGGGCATCATCCATCGACAATCACAGTGTTTTCTTCAGAGTCCTTAAGCCAGTGGTTCTCAGCCTGTGGGTCGCGACCCCTTTGGGTCGAACAACCCTTTCCCAGGGGTCACCTAAGACATCACAGTAGCAAAAGTACAGTGATGAAGTAGCAACGAGAATAATTTTATGGCTGGGGGTCACCACAACACGAGGAACTGGATTAAAGGGTCGCAGCGTCAGGAAGGTTGAGGGCCACTGCTAAGCCCAGTGGGTGCCCAGTACCAGTGTGGCCTTTTGCATTCTTGAGGCTTTGAATGTCAGTATGTGGTTGTTGCCTTTTGTGTTTGTTGTCAGCACCCGAACAGTCTTGCACGGGGCCTTGAACATCCGCGTCTCACCTGTTTGTCAGGAAGTCACACCTGCTCTGTGTGAGCTCCTGGCGGGGAGGGGGATCTCAGGTGCAGGAGTCGGCACTTGTTATCCGAGATACACTGCTGGTCATCAGGCCTTCAGACCCAGGAGTGAGGCTGGGGACCAGACCCTTTCTTCTGCCTTCAGAGGGGGCCGCTGTCACCGGCCAGGGCCGTGCCCAGCCCCTGGTGTGTAGACATCACCGCCTTGAGCAGAGAGTGGCCCTGAGCCAGGCGGTGTCCAGGGTTCTGCACCCGGACACCCACAGTGCAGTTTCCTCCTGTTTTTGTTTTATTTTGTTTTAACGTTTGACACAATAAACCATGTCCAGGTGATGACAACGTTTTTAACCAGCCTGAAAAGCCCACCTAAATACTAGTAAAGGACCATCTTTCCCCTGAACCCTTCTACCGAAGAAAAATTGGTCATCCTTCGCATACCCTATGTCCGCCTTGGCTGGTGCCTGGAAGTGGAGGGCGGGGCTGGAGGGTGGGGCTGGTGGGCGGGGCTCCCCTCCCCAGGTTGGCCTGTTTCCTGAGGGCCTGAGGATTCCTTGTCCTGTGTGGACACATTTATTTTCTGCTCCTGGAGACAGCAGCACTGGCTAGAGCTCAGCAAACCCTAAATGAGAAAAGGAGAAACATACGGGCTTGTTGGGAGTGTCTGCCTCCCCGCCTGCTGCCCATCCCCCGCCTGCTGCCCATCCCCCACTCAGCTCTGGGCGTGGACTCGGAACAGCAGCCCAGAAGCCCGGGAACTGGTCAGAAAACACGGCATTTCGAGTTCCTGTCCAGACCTGAATCCGTCAGGGACTTCCCGGGGTGGTTGACGTGTCCGTCGTGGCCGTCCGCTGGGCCCGCCCTCCTCACTGTGCTCGGCCCAGCCCTCGCCCACAGGAAGGGTGGCGTCAGTGCCCACAGTGAGGGCTGGCACCATGTGCTTGGAGCTCCAAGGACAACCCCTTTCCCCGGGCCAGCCCAGTCTGCTCTTGGTCTCTTGGTTTTTTCTTAATCCTCACCTGAGGATATTCTTCCATTTATCTTCAGAAAGGGTGGGAGGGACAGAAAGAGAGAGAGGGGGAGAGAAACACTGATGTGAGAGAGACACATCTACGGGTGGCCTCCAGCACAACCCTGACCCGGAGAAGAACTGCAACCGAGGCACGTGCCCTTGACTGGAATCGAATCTGTGACTCTGGTCTGCGGGCCGAGGCTCCAACCGCCGAGCAAAGCTGGCTGGGGCGGTCCCTGGCTTCTTTGTGCACGGTGAGCCCCTTGCACACCTCTCTATTGATTAAAGAAAAAAAGACATTGAGTACGACATGGGTGTTTTTTCCTGTTTAGAAAGTTGATTCACATGTTGATGAAACAGAGGAGATCACAGGAGAACAACTCACCCTCCATGTCCCTGGACCCTTCTAGTTATCTTTTGTGCACCCTGCACACACACCCCTAAAATGTTCAACACGGTGTTCCTTGTCTTATAATCAGCCCCTGCACTGAGACATCTTTTCCCACCGCAGGATGGAGTCTTTGTCGTCACAGTCTCCATTGACTTTCACGGTGTGTCAGCCACGCTGGCCTGTCATTTATCTCCGTGACACTAGACACATTGATGACGTGCTTTCTCCACGCAAGACAGGTTTCCACAGGGCACTTTCCACGTTGCACTCAGTTAATCCTCACAGCAGTGGTGTGACCTAGGTTCTGTTATTAGCCTACTTTTGTGCTAGGTCAGTTGTTCATGAAAACTTAGTTGCGAGAGGCAGTAGACTGTGTCCAGTTTTTTATGATTGTGAAATATGAGGATAAAAATGTTTTGAGCTTAATTGTATTATCGGCCCTTATTGATATCATTAGAATAAACAGAAGTGGGATTACTAGGTCTTGCATGTTCATAAAAGATTTTTAATAGCTATCATCCAGTTGCCCTCCCACAGGTCAAACCAAACTTCTACCCGTGTGTATTGGTGTTGGTCTTAGTAAACTCTGTCAATGCTTGGAGTTGTTATTGTATAAAACTTTGCCAATGTGATTGGTGAGAAAGGATTTCTCCATTTTAATTTGCGTTTCTTTGGTTAATAACAAGAACTCTTCTAATCCTCCTTCACAGGTTTTCGGGCCATTTGTAAAAACAAAAATTTAAAGACATTGCTACTGAGATATAATTCATATACTATAAAGTTTACCAACTTCAGAGTCATCAGTTACATAGTTTCCAGTGTTTTTACAGAGTTGTGCGACCATCACCATAATATGATGTTAGAACAGTGTCCTTACCCCAGTAAGATCCTCTGTGCCCAGTGACAGTCACTTCCCATTCCGACCCCAGTGCTAGGCTACCATAGACCCACTTTCTGTATTTATAGGTTTGCCTTTCCCGGGCATTTCATGTAAACGGGGTCATGCAACAGGTGGCGTATGGGACAGTCTTCCTTCGCTTAGCGTGATGTTCTCCAGGTGCACCCATGGTTTAGGCTGTGTCAGGATTTCATTCCTTTGTTGGGTGAGTTGTATGGGCGTACCGCATTTTGTGTAACCCCCCTCCAGCTAGTGGACATCTGCACTGTTGCCCCTTCTGGGGTATTACGAGTAATGTTGCTGCATTTCATGTACAAGGTTTTGTGTGGATATGTTTTTCTTTCTCTTGGGTATGTACCTAGGAGTGGAAATGCTGGCTCAGGTCGTAACTGTTTTCAGTATTTTGGAGAACTGCTGAAGTTTCTTCCAAGTTAGCTGTATCATCTTACATTCCCCCCCACCGCGGGGTCCAAGGGTTCCGATTTCTCTACACCCCAGCCAATACCTGATAGCGTCTATCTTTTACACTATAGCTATTTTAGTGGGTGTGAAATGAAAAAATAGCATTTTAAAGCATCATTTTGGGGACAAGATTTTGGCCCATACTAGGAAACGGGCTTTAACCAACATTCTGGTGGCATTTGGTGACCACTGAATGACCTCGCATCTCAAAAACTGTCTTGTGACACTTTGGGCCATTTTGTCGTATTTCCCTAAAAGCTGTCTGTTGTGTTTTTTTTCCTCATAGCAAAATGTTTACTGATTTCATCCTAAATGTTCCCGTGGGTTTGCTGACCATTCAGAAGCTGTATTGCTTGATCGAAATCGTTCACAGTGACCTCTTCACGCAGCACGGTGAGTGGAGCCCTGAAAATCATGCAATCGTTACATCAGTGGTGGTCTGTGGGCCTTGCCCCTTCTGAATTCTCTCCTCCTCGCCTGAAGAAGGGGAGGCTGCAGCCAATTAAGACAGCTCCTTGACAAGACAGGAAGACGGAGCCCTTACAAAGCGTGTAATTGACACCTGGCAAAGGCAATAGATCATGGAGGCGGGAGGGCAGAGCCTCCTGGTTTGTAATTCAGGTGGGAACCAGAGGCCCCGGGTAATCAGCTCGCATTGTCGCCTTTTGCAGGACTGATTGTCTGTCCTGGGGAGGCAATCACTTGCTTCTGTCGAGAGGATTGCACAGAAAAATTGTAAGCTTTCTTTAAATTTAGACGTAATGGTCCTGTCTATTCCCGAACTTTGCCTTCTTTGACAGGGCTTCTTCAGACCCTGCTCAAGTAATGAGACTTCTAATGATTTCTCAACTCGTTGAACCTGAGGAGGACCTTACATTTTCCCCACATTATCTCCCTACCCCTTGTATGAATCATTGGCTTTCTTTCCCGACAGATTGAATTAATATTTTACACTTGGCGCGCGGTTTTCTTGAAAGCTTAAAACCTTTGCATGGTTCCGGGACCTGTAACCTTCCTCATTAGTCAGGGACAGATGTGAAAATGACCGCGGGACGTTCTGCCTGCGAAGCACAGCTTTGTTCTGTCGGCCCTGTGTCCAGACACCAGGTTTCTGTTCCTTTTCTCTCGTCCTCGTGCGTGGTGCTGTTTTGGGGCCGGAGCAGCCCACGCCTGGGAATCGGGGGTGTTCTCGCCGAGTTACCGGCTGGACTTTGAACTCAGTGTATGTCTGGCTTAGTTTTTGTACCTTCTGGGCTATTGGACTCTTCTTTTGTCTGCTCGTTTGAGCCTTATTTCTTGGTTTAACTTTATAAAATGGACTAGAACCTACACGTACAGCTAAGCTCGTGGTAAAGGAAAAGACGTGACGACTTCACCTGGGTGTTCTGGAGAAAACAACATCGAGGCCAGGGGAGGGAAGCCTTCTCCGGGCCCTGTGCGCAGACCTCTCTCCGGGCCAGGTGCTCATCTCTCACTTTCCTGAGAGAAAGTCAACTCTGTTGCATTGTTTGCCACTCAAAGCACAGGACTCTTCTCGAAGCCGTTAGTCCTGACTGTCCGTGTTTCCGGCTCTCGCTGGAGAGCAGGTCTTGCATTGTTCATCCTCCAGGTGGCTGCTGACGCTTGGGGACCCTGTGTGGCTCGGGGGAGGCGTGGTGGTGGGGGTGATGGGTGGGGACACTCCTGGTTTGCTTTCTTCCATATGGACTAAACTTCATACCAGAGCAAGTAAAGTACTCTGACAGTGTCCACATGGGTCCTTCTAGGTAGGTCAGTGATGTCCCTTCTTCCAGCCCCGACACACACGTGCCACCACTGTCTTCACGGACTTCACAGTCGTCAGTACGTAGCCATCGTCGATGGATGGACCGGACTTGGCTCTGAGAGACAAGGCAGACCTTTCTGAGGACAGATTTGTTCCCCATACGATTGCGCTCTCTTTGAATAAGAACCTAAGACATAAGCGCTTCCGTGAAAAATAGTGAGGATGGAGATGCTTTGAAGAATGCATTTCCAGGAGACGTTTCTTCTGTGGAAACACCACACGTGAGCCAGCAGGACGTGGTAGGGGGAGTTCTGGTTATTCCTGGTGGTGACCTTGGCCCAGATGTCTAGCTCTTTCTCGTTCTTGAGCCGTATTTCTCTTTCTTCTCATTTCTGTTCCACGAGTCTTTTTTTTTATGTGCATAATTTTATTTATTCATAGTTGAAAGTATTACTGTCCCCCATTTTACCTCATTACCCACTCCTTCCCACTCCCGCTGTTTTTCTTTTTTTAAATCCTCACCTGAGGATATTTTTTCCACTGATCTTTTTTAGACAGAGTGGGAGGGAGAAAAATCCATGTGAGAGAGACACATGGATTGGTTGCCTCCCAAATGACCTTGAGTGGGGCCAGGGATTGAACCCACAACTGAGGTATGTGCCCTTGACCGGGAATCGAACCCTCGACTCTTTGGTTGGTGGGCTGACACTCTAACCGCTGAGCCAAACTGGCCTACATGTCTTTTCCACAGACCGCCTCAAAGCCTGTTTTGGAAGTACGCAGTACGCAAGTAAACGTTTATAGCTCTTGTTAAGCATTTATAGCTTTTTATTAAGCAATAGTTTTGCTTAATAAGGAGTTACCAGGGTACATAATATTGTGGAATAAGTTGTATCATTTTAAGTACAGAGTTAGGAAGTTGATCTTAACAGCAAGTTGTACCCACCCACGTAGTCAATGAGATTGTATGAAAGACGTAAATCCAAAACGACCCTGGGCTAAAGGAGCCCGATCGGCCCGAGGCTTCGTGTCCTCCGAGCTGCCCCCGAGTCCCCGGCAGCTGTGGTCAGCAGCCCTTCCCGAGAGCCCGGTGTGCTTGCCCGTGCTCGCTGGCCACCTGGGGGTGCTTCGGGGGGTGCTTTGGGGTGCGCAGGCCAACGGGACCGTGGCCACACTTGCAGGCTTGAGTTCTAAGAGTCCTTTTGGGGAGGGATCGCAAGGACAGCCCGATGTCTCCCCTCGGGGCTCCCTCCTTCTTTCAAACAACCAACAGCATCCATCCGACCTCATCAGGAAAGACCCAGCAGTCGAATCTTCTCATTGGTCTGTTCTTTTTTTTTAATCCTCACCTGAGGATATTTTCCCCTTTATCTTCAGGTAGAGTGGGAGGAAGAGGGGAGAGAGAGAGAAACATCGACGTGAGAGAGACACATCGACTGGTTGCCTCCTGCATGACCCCAACCATTGCCAGGGATGAACCGCCATTGGGGTGTGTGCCCTTGGCAGGAATCGAACCCGCGACTCGCTGGTCTGTAGGCCAACATTCTCAGCGCTGAACCAAATCGGCCAGGGCCCGTTGGTCTGTTCTTACAAAGATGTTATACTTTTGCAAAAATATTCTTTGCCATATCCGTTATAAATATTTAAAACCAAACCATTTTCTGATGAGATGCGATGACTGTGATTTTCTTGCTCTGTTCCTTTTTTTTTTTTTGTTAATTTGTAAAATACATAATCGTCTATGTCTTGTTTCCTTACTCCCAATGGGACCAGGCACACCAACTTCCCACACATCCAGATTTTTAGAATTGAGGTAACTAGATTTAGCCGCACGAGCTGTGCCAGCCCCGAGGGGACATCCTCGGGCATGTGATCAGAGGGCACCGCTGTGCAGTGCCTCCGCGTTCCCCGGTGGCAGCTCCAGGGCGGGTCTCTGCCGTCAGCCTGGGTGATGCGCCACGGTAGACACTCACTTTGCTCTCAAACTTTCCATCTGCCTCAACATCAGAGACATTCCACAGTTTCAAGAGTCTCTTTTCAGTGGGGATGGTGAACCGATCTGTGCCTGGAGGCTGGCGATGACTTCTGAATCTGTACCTACCCCTCTGCAGAAGAGCCTCCTCTTGCCCAATGTGGGTCCCAGTCTGCCAGCTCACAGCACCTGGCTGTCTCTTCCTCCTTTTCCTGTTGCTCCTCCTCTGCCCCTCTGAAGGCCATGGGGCCTGAGCACCACCCAGCTGAGTGTGCTAGGCTACAGCCGACGTGTGTTTTGGCAAATGGAGTTGTGTTTGTCAGGCCCCAGCCTGTGTGGACACCTCGGCTGCTGTCCTGGCCACCCTCTGCTCATAGGCGTGCCAGTTGAGATGCTTCTTCTGGAGCAGTTTTATAAGATTAAGGTTGTCTTTCATTTGCTAATTATTCTCATTATTTCCCAGCGTGGTGGAAATATGAAGGGCGGGGCAGTTCAAATCTATCTCTGGAGTTGCCGTAGCTTTCTACTAAAATCATGGAATATTTCCAATGAATAGAAAAGAGTAGGGGTAACAAATGCCCATGTACCCATCACTGGGCTTCACAGTGTTCACGTCCTGGTCCGTCTTGTTTTCCCCCAGGGACTTGGAAGTGATTCTCAGACATTACTGCGTTTCGTTAGGGCGTCTTTTTAAAGGTATGGTGGTATTCAGAGTGCCTGACGTTGTTTCAGAAACGAGGGGGTGTGCAGAGGGGCTGGTCCCCACACTGGTGTCTGGAACTGACCTTGGATGTTCCTGCTTCTGCCCTGGCTCCGGGTGAAGGGCCTTTGACTCGTTAGCATGCCGTACACGGGAGCCAATGAATGGGTGGTAATGGCTTCCAAGTGTCGTCTCGCGATGTGACCTGACTACTTGAAAGCGGGTTGAAAAGCTGTGTGCTTCCCAAAACGATGACTCTCGCATATAATCTGTGGGGTGGAGTGAGCAGATTTCCCGAGCAAGATACGAAGAGACAGAAAGGTGACAGTGTCATAATTTGTGTACTTGTAACTGTGTTCCCAAGTGATCATCTTGTTGCCCAGGTACCTGACAAAAGCGGTGAGGATTAAAGCTTCGGTCCTATTCTAGGCATGAAAGGTTGCAATGTAATTACATTGAAATAAATGCTAGCACTCGCAGGTTTAGAATTTTTGCTCACAAAATTGTTTGACATGAATGTTATAGAAATTGCAATAAAAGGAATGGACCTGAGCATTAGTCGAGAACATTGGACATGCTTGCAAGAAGCCTTCGCGCTCAGGGGGAAGGCTTTGTGGGGCGCACGCTCTTCCCCACACAGCTAGCTCCCTCCCTCTGGGGTTCCGACCCTGAGACCATTGGAAACATCATTCCAGGTAGCACTGAATTGTTCCTTTACCTTCCTAGATCCCATCTTTCCATACCCCCGTATCGGAAGTGACCAAAGCAATGACAGTGTACCTGTCATTATGTGTCAGTGCTGTTCGGGGAGTTAGTGTGAGATTTGAAGGGTCAAGATGGGAGGATTTAGTGGGAGACAGCACTCTGTGGTCTTGACGGTCGTTTATTGTGAGTGGATCCCTTTGAGGAAACTCGCTGTTCCTGGGCAGCTTGTGTTTGTTGGTTGTCGTCTGGGT